AGCAGGGGGCCCCACCCCCTGCCACAGGCACCATCCACATTTGTCTGGTGCTGCAGGGCACATGGCCCTTCCCATCGTCATCTCATGGCATCCTCCCGCTACCCCTGGGGGAGGCACCCATGTCCCCGCTGGAAACTGAGGCCCGGCAAGGTTATGTAGCTCGTGCACCCCCATGAGAGCCTGGCGCTCTGCCTGCGGCCCTCGCGTCTCTCTCATCCCGGGATCTCGGGTGACCATGGAGGAGCTTAGTTGGTTTTCTGTGGGTCCTTTACCCGGTGCTTCCTGCCCTTGCAGATAAAATACCACGAGGAGTTTGAGAAGAGCCGCATGGGCCCCAGTGGGGGTGAGGGCATGGAGCCCGAGCGCCGAGATTCCCAGGACGGCACCAGCTACCGGAGACCCCAGGAGCAGCAGCCTCACCACATCCCGACCAGCGCCCCCGGTGAGCATGGGGCCTGTGGGGTAGAGGACCTGAGGCCGGGCCAGCTACCGGGTGGGGAGAAGCCTCATTTAAACACACATGTGCGCGCGCACACACGCGCAGGCACACACACACATGCACACGCGTGCGCGCGCGCACATGCATGCACAGACACGCACACACGCACACACACTGTCAGGTCTCATCCCCCCGAGGGCATGAGCACTGGGGGCAGGGCCTCTGCTGGGCCCCAGGGTGGTGAGGGGGAGGTACCACCCTTGCTGTAGACCAGTGGTTCTCAACCTTCCTAATGCCGCGACCCTTTAATACAGTTCCTCATGCTGTGGTGACCCCCGATTTCATTGTTACAAATTGAACATAATGAAAGCATAGCGATGAATCACAAAAACAATCTGTAATTATATATGTGTTTTCTGATGGTCTTAGGCGACCCCTGTGAAAGGGTCGTCCGACCCCCAAAGGGGTCGCGACCCACAGGTTGAGAACCGCTGCAGTAGAATCTGCGACACCTGCATGTGTGCACACTCAGACTGCGCCTTTGGGAGATGGGCCTTGAGCAGGCCTGTGGGCTTCTGGGAGGCCCTGGGAGGGGCTGGTTTTGTCCAGACAGTGTCTGAGCCCTGCCTCCTCCCGTCTTGCAGTTTATCAGCAGCCCCAGCAGCAGCAGGTGACCCCCTCCTATGGTGGCTACAAGGAGCCCGCAGCCCCAGTCTCCACGCAGCGCAGCGCCCCAAGCGGGGGCGGGGTGAGTAGCCCCAGCCCAATGGAGAGGAGGGAGGTGGAAGG